GTGACAGGAGCCTCACACCCTTGGGAACAGTGTCCTGACCTCTTCAGAAGCCCTGCTGCCAGGAAACATGCTCAGTTTGGTTCAAGCTCCCCAATTCTTCCCCAAGTCACATGATTGAGGCATGGGGACAACTTCCCCCCTCACATCCAAGCTTCTGAATCGCCTCCCACATGAGCCCCAGAAATCAAATCCAGTCTCATCCGAAGGCCGTCATCGGGCTGCGCCCTCACACCCATCACCCGCACGGTTCTGAGCAGGAAGCCCTGTCTCTCCCTGGCTGGCGCAGGCCCCGGGGAGGCGGCTCTGTGAACTGGCCCGGAGCTGATGGAGACAACCCTGCTCTCCTACGTTTCAAACTTCAGAGACCCAAGGGGACTTCATGGGGTTTAAATTTGTCCCCCACACTCTCACACCAAGCACCAAAGCCTCTCCATCTCTCCTGCTCTTTCTGATGCAAGCCTGATGCTTGCAAGTCCTAATTAAGCTTCAATCGCTTTGTCATAAAACAACCCTTTTAAGCCCTAACGGAACCTGCTACAGTGATAATGTCATTTGCCGAACATCAGTGGAAGAGGCAGCCTTCGTCCCTCCGGCTCCCTTAAAGGTGAACCCAGAATCCAGACTCTCCAGGACAAAAAAGCAGCAGCCTACATGAAAGCTCCTCCCCTGCCCAAGAAACTAACGCGATGTACACAACAAGGGACTCCATGGTGTGGCCCTTTGTACTCGAAACCCAACTTTCAAAGCAAAGCAGGGAGGAAAAAGCATTGCTAACGACGGGGAAGCGAAGCCATGCAAAGTAGCTAAGACTTCGTTCCGAATGAGAACTTCAGTCCCAATGACAACCCCGACCTTGGGCTGGAGTCACAGTCTCGCCCCTCCGGCTCTCCTTGCATCCGCCATCTTGGAGGTGAACGGAGAAAGGCAGGAACGCCAGGCCCTCGGCTAGATGCCTTCAGGGCGCGATGTCGTTAATGACCACCGTGGCCACACATGGTGGCCCAGGCAAAATTCTGGAGGCTGCTGTACCTGAACCCTAGGTCTCGGGCATCTTTGGGTTGGGAGAGAGGTTCATGGAAGACTGAAAAGAATTTTTTTAAAGAGCAAAGACTGGTGAGGGTGACAGTGACCAAGAAGGCTCATGGCCAGTTTAAGGGAGCAGCCCCTTCTTGACACTGGCTAACTGCGGCCATGCAGGAAGGTCAACTGAAGGTGCTCAGAGGTTCTAACCTTTTAAGAAAAGCTGAAAAGCTGAAAAATATGGGAAAACCCATATTTTTAAAATCTTGGCAACTCAACGGCATAGAGCTTCCGAACTAGGACAACTCGCAGCAACTAGAGGTCAACGAGGTCTCTGTGTTCTGTTCCCCACTTCCGGGCTGGGCACAGACTCCTGGCAAAGACCAGTGACCCTTCCCTCTGCCGCTCCCAGCGTGGCATTCCAGGGGTTCGAGCCTCACCAGGAAAACTGCTCAGGGGAACCCAGCAGCTCTGAGCATGGCCGGGGTCCACTCTAGCCTGTCTCCCTGCCCAAAGAGCAGCAGCTGGTCTGCATCGAAGTCCTTATTTAAAAGTGAGATGCCTGCTCGGGAAAGTGTAATGTTAGGGCTGAGTGACAGGGCTGAGCCGACAGTCAGCATGGGCACCAATCAGCAGATGGAGCCCATCCTCAGTGGGTGAGCTGTCCTCAGCCGCAGCCCAGGAAGAATGAGAAGGGACCGTGAGAATGGCCAGGACCCATGACCTGCCTGGCTTACCTGGCTCCTCCCACTCCTCCCCCCACTTCTATTAAGTCAGCCAACACCCCTGACCCCAACATCTGGGAGGAACACCCGGCTTGAAATAAAAGGCGACTGATGCAGCTTGTCCTTCCCCCACAAGCAGAGATGTTCAGGTGTCCCTGAACCTCTGTGGCCTGGCACCTGCCGCCCTGCAACTGTAATCCCCCCGGATACTGGAGGAGCTAAGACAAGACATCTGCTGAAAAAATGGGGGCCTGGAAAAAAACGAGAAGGGGGCCCCCATGGAGTGCAGAGGTAGCGGGGGGGTGGGGCAAGGGGGAGGGGAAATACACGGCCTCAGAAATGAGAGTGACCAGGTCAGAGTCCTGGTGACTACTGCTATGTGGCCCTGGACGACCAGCGTGACCACTGTGCCACAGCACCCTTCTCTGGAAGAAAGCACACGGGGCTGGGCCCGGGGGTGGGGGCCACACACACGCACGCACACGCACGCACGCACATACACACCCCTGCAAAGCCACTGGCTCCCGGGTCTTTTGGAGATGCAAACATCCACCACCTTGGCCCTCGTCCAAGGCATCGCTGCCTCGCGTCTGGATGACCGGCTCGCCCGTCCCTGGCCTGCCAGCTTCGCCCACCTTGTCCCCTCCCCCTATTCCAGCAGCACAGGTCTCTCTTGTGCTCGGTGAGACTGCCAAACCCTGCCTTGCCCCAGGGCCTTTGCCTGCTGTCCCCTCTGTCCATTCTGCTCACCTCCCTCTTCCCAGGCCTCAGCCCAGAGCGGACGCTCCACAAATATTTGTGGATGAGGACTGTGTCCAGCACTCGGCATGTGCCTTGGGGCTGGAGATGGCACGAGTGTGACTGAGAGTTACAGCTGAGACCACGGACCTGGGAGCCAGTGGCTTTGGGTCACACTCTGGCTCTCTCAGATGAGGGACCCTGCATAAGTCACTCCACCTGTCTGCTTCCTTCTTTCCACCTAAAAGAGGAGACGACAGCAACAGCACCCACCTGCGGGACATGGGTGGGGACGCGTGCGCAAGAGCGCGTGAGGGCAAGGCGTGGGGATCGCCACCAGTCCGGTCGGCCTTAACGTCACCCCGACCGCCCACGCTGCCTGGCCGGGCCTTGGAAAATCCAGGGAAAATGTCGGAAATCCCAAACCCGGTGGAAGGACAGCCCCCCGAGGGAGCCCCCACTCTCCTGCCAGCTTCTGAGCATGGCCAGTGCCACATTTCGGTCTGGGCGCCATGAGCCTACCAGCCACATGACCCTGTGATCGCGTTTCCTCCCGGTGCTGCCAGGCCAAGCCCTGCTGTGGCCCACGCCACGTCCAGAGAGGGGCAGAGATGGCCCAGGGCCACGTCGACGAAGCCAAAGGTCATTTTTAAAAGCATCTGGCTCCTGGCCCCAAGTGGGGGAGACAACAGAAAGACAAGAAAAAATGAGGCATCATGAAGCTCAGACATTTGCCAATGAAATCACCAGGAACCAGAAAAAGAGGAAAGAGGTACGAAAGCACAGGGCTGGGCCCGGGGGCGGGGGCTTCGGGGAGGATTTCAGAGCAGGGTGGGCTGGAGGGGGCTGGGAGGGGCAGGGGAGAACGCTCCCATCCGTAGTTCACACAATGAAATCCGGTCACGCACGGCCACATGGGGCCTTATTATAATCAGGCAGCAGAATCCACCGTGGCCCCCGCCCTTTCCAGCTCCGGGCGGGCGGGAGGCTGGCAGCGGAGACTGTTATCAGTGGCGAGCAGCTTTTCAGGACCTCCCCCGCTTGGAGCCTTTATCTGGAGGTGAGGGTCTTGGTTGTGGGGAGATAAAACCACTGTCCCCCTCCCTCAGGACTGGTACCGGGAAGGAGGGCTTTGCGGAAAGGGGGTGGTGAACAAAGAGCTCTGTCCACACCTCTCCCGCTCGCCCTCCTTCGGAGCCAGAGAAAACCCAGGGCCTGGGGGCCGCCTGAGTCCCCGTGCAGTGGGGACGCGGGTCTGGGGAAGCTTCGGAGGCTTTGGGAACAATGTGGAGAGGCCGGGCGCGGGGGAGGAGCAGGTGAAAAGGAACAGCCCAGGGGACAGAGGGGACTATGTATGTGATCCGGTAAGAAAAGGGACAAAAAGGGCAAGAGGCCCTGGAGATGAGCTCTGGGGGGATCCCCCGACGACAACGTGAGACTCGGCAGGGCTCGCGACCAGCAGACACGCGTAACTTCCCAGCCCCAAATCGTCTCTATGTGCTGGAACTATGCAGCCCTCCTCCCAGCTCCAAGGCCACATCGTGTGAGTCACGGCAGGGCCATGGACGCCGGCCACCCCCAAGAAGGAGGACCAGTTGGGAACAGCGTGTCCGGGATGCTCTCGACACCAGAGCCTGGACCGGGGAACGAGGGAACACGGGGCGGACGGGGCAGCTCCGCTTCAGACGAGGGGACGGTATCTCTGCAAAGCCACCCCTCGTGTGCTCCAGAACATTTCCGTGCCCAGGGCCCCTTCTACTACTACTGTGACATCTCAGCTGTCTCCACACAGCCCCCTCTGCCCTACCTGCCTGGAGCTCGTGGGGAAGAGGGATGTGTCATGCCCCCGCGGTCAGTGGCCGGCCTGCAGCTGGTGCTCACGGCAGAGTTCAAGACCATTGGCGAAGGCTGTCGCTGCTGAATTAAGCACAGGGCCAGAGAACTGGTGGTTCACAGGCAGCTTCTCTCAAAACTCTCTCAAAAGCCTCCCGGGGTCAGTATGGGTACCATGCCCACCTCAGAGATGCAGAAACTACCCTCAGAGGAGACGGGTGTCACAGGCTAGGAGAGGGCATCGGGGAGACGGTGATTCCACGGGGGTCTGAGCTGCACGCTGTGCTCGGTACAGGGCCCGGTGGGAAGTAAATGCCACTTCCGTCCGTGGGGTCACTCAGCACCCAGTTACTGCTCATCTGTCAGGCGCCAGGCACTTTCCCGGTGCTGGGGGATAGCAGTGAGCAAGCAGATGGGGTACCTGCCTTGTGGAATGGACATTCTAGCAGGGGGTCAGGCAGACAGACACTAAGGAAACGAACCACTCATGATAAATGAAACAAAGTTAGGTTGATGGGTTGGGTAGAAACTGGTACCATCACTGGTCATGGTCTGATGCTGGGCTAACGACAGAACAAATCTTCCAACATCCCTACACTCCAACTACGCACCAGAGGCTTGGGACACAAAGACAAGTATGACCCAGCCCCTACCTCTCACAGCTACAGAGAGAGGCGCAGAAACCCCTCTTCCTGCACAGATTCACTCCCTCCGTGCCTGGGGTAGGCACCCAGCAGCGAGCAAGACAGCCGCTCTCTGCCCTCACAGCTCACTGTCCGGCAGACAGATGAACGGTGACAAGTGTTACAGAGTGACGGGAGGGCAGCAACAGGACACGTACAGACAAGTGTGGCCACGTGGCAGCGGGGGCCTGGGGAGGCACCATGCCCTCTCCCCAAGCAGGTAGGCGATCCGGCCCCCGCTGGATTGGGGTCCAGGGCCCTCGCTCCTGGCAAATCCCTGTGCTTTAAAGGAGGATTTGATTTGGGCCAAAAAATATTAGTCAGGTTCAAGTTTAGCAAGTGAAGTGAAAAAAATCTGATGATTTGGGGGTGATGGCTAGTTAGGAACAAACCATGACGGTGTGAAGAAAATTCTTTTGGACGGAAGTGTAAGCGGGTTTGGAGAGGATCCCCCCAATCCAACCTGTGGGCGAAACTAACTGATAAGCAGGGGCTAGTGAGGGACGTTCAAACGTCTGCACCAGTGATCGGTGACTCCAACAACCAGCGACACTGTCAGCGCCTCAAAGGGCAGAGAGGGGAGGGATTCCTTCTCGACAAGAACAAGGCTGTGAAGTGAGACCAGGCTCCCAGCGCCCGTGCCGGCTGCGCCGGTCCCGAGGCCGCACCGACCCTCAGCAAAGCGAGACGCTAAGAAGCTCTGCAGACAAAAGGACTGTTCTCTAATCTGAGAATTCTGCTCCCACACCCCTACTTTTTTTCTGTAAAACACCCTTTCTTTTATGACAACGATGGAGATGGGAGACCTTCTTTAACAAACGGGTCACCCTAAGGGGGTGGGGGGGGACGTTGTTGACGAGCAAAGTCTTAACACCTTAGTAAAACGATTGTCACCATCCTTTTAAAAATTTTTCTAACGATCTCTGATTCTAAGATGTGTTCATGGTCCCCAGACTAAGCAGTTCTCAACTGGAGCTGCACTGCCCCCCAGGAGACATCTGGGGATGCAGAGGGGATGGTTCCGGTCATCACAATCATGGGGGTGGGCGTGCTCCTGACACCCGGTGGGTAGGGTCCGGGGAAGCAAAATGTCTTACAATCTGGAGAACTGCGCTGCCCCCTGTGCCAACGGCACCCCCTCCCCACCCGAGTGGGAAGCCTCAGCTGCAGGGGTGGGGCCTCCGAGTCGCCTCCTTTCCCTGCCTTTGCAGTGACCGGACAGCAGAGGGCACTGTGCCACTCCAAGGACACTCCAGAACAACTACCTCCCGCTCAGCCAGCCACCCTCCTGCACGAGGCATTCTGGTGGATGTATAAAACAAGGTTGTCTTCACCTGCTCTGTTCTGAATCCCTATTAATAGATTCTGTTTTTCTTTTCTTACCTTTATAACAAACAAAAAAGTCACGACCTTATGCTGCGCCCACAACTTCTACGTTCCATTTTTTAAAGGACATTTTACGTGCCTATGAAACGCAAGGACAGGAGACACACTGGTCTCCAGGATGCAGAAAGGACTTTAAACCACATGCCCGACAGACGTTCAGAGCTGTCCCGCCCCCTCCTTCCCGCGCCGCTGTCCCAGGGCACCCCGATGCCAGTCGCAGTCCTCACCAGTTTCTGGCTCCACTTTCTCAGCTGCCTCCACCAGTGCATATTGGGGTTCTTCCTTCTGCGGGGCTGGAGCAGAGCTGGAGAAGACGCCCATGGGAGCCCACTCCAGGTACAGGGGGACGTGGTGGAACTGCAGAGACAGCGCAGGGAGGGGTCAGGGCCTAACACGGACGGAGAGCCCGAGGTTCGGGCTGTGGGCGACTCAGCCCGGCGTGGAGCCAGGCCGAGGGCGAGCCCAGCCCCGCACCCTCCACGCTGCCTGATCCCTGAGGACACGGGGCCTCCTGCTGCAGCTCGGGGACAGGTCGAGCATCTGCTGCCGCATCTACTGGAGGCACTTGCGTCCCCTTGCGTCTCCTCTAACGAGCGCACGAATGGGGAGCGGTACAAGGGCGGGGGGGGCAGACCCACCGACGGTGCGAGTCTCCTGGAGGAAGTGCGGTGGGGCCGCACAGACCACGCGCTCTGCCCGCCCACCAGACACGGGCCGTGCGTGTGCGTCTGCATGCGCGTAGTTGTTTTATTTTTTAAAAGGATGAATAAGATGCTGGTAAATAGTCTGCAGGGCGTTAAAGTGCCTGATCAAAGAAGCTTTTTGTAGTGAGAGGATTGAAAGGTGCCCCCCCACTCCCCTCTGCCATGTCCCAACCCTCAGAATCTGTGACTGTGATCTTATTTGGAAAAAAGGTCTTTGCAAATATCATTAAGTGAAGGAGCTGAAAATGAGATCATGGTGGGTTATCCAGGTGGGCCCTAAATCCAGCGTCAGTGTCCTTGTAAGAGAAAGGTCTGAGATGGAGAAGAGGCGACCATGGGAGGCCGAGGCCGAGGCCGAGGCCGAGTGCTGCAGCCATAAGCCAAGGGACGCCTGGTGCCACCAGAAGCTGGAAGAGGCAAGAAGGACCCTGACCTAGAGCCATCGGAGGGAGCACGGCCCTGCTGACACCCTGATTTCCGACTTCTGGCCTCCAGGACTGTGTAAGAATAAATTTCTGTTGTTTTAAGCACTAAGTTTGCACTAATCTGTTATGGCAGCCTCAGGGAACCCGCCAATGTTTGTTGTGTGTGTGTTTATCTTTTTTTTTTCCTCTCAGAAACAGGAGACAGCCATCTCCAGAACTGACTTCCAGCTTATTGTAGGTACAGATACTAAAAGCACAAGAATGGTAGTTCAAGTTCATGTGGAACTAGGAAGCCAAGGAAACCCAGAGTCAGGCAGGATGCCAAGGCCTGCTTCCCGGATGATGGTTCAGAGCCTCCCTCCCCCGTTCTCCCGTCGTCTGGGTGGGGGCGGTGGGGGGGAGATAAATTCACACTCGTGACGGAGAAGGTGGTTGGAGACCAGGCTCTCACAGGCCAGGTGTCTGCTAAGACTGTCACTACAGCGGCTCCCTTCACCCCTCCGGTCGCGGGTCTGCGGCAGCTCTACCTTGGAGTAGGCCAGGTGTCTGAAGGCCTTGCGGGCCTCCAGGGGCTCCAGGAACTCCACGATGGCGGTGACGCCGCCCTCGGGCAGCAGCACTCGGCCCAAGCTGCCGAACTGGCCAAAGATCTCCTGCAGCTCTGCTGCCAGGGTGCCCGCCGGCAAGTTCTTCACCAACATCACGGTCTTGCTTCGCTCTGCGGCAGCCTGCAGGGAGGAGATGAATGCACATGGGACAACAGGACGGAGGGTCCCCAGCCCCTGACCCCAGAACCGATCTGGAGTTGACTGCAGACTGGGCAGCCCTCTGGGACCTCCGTCACCAGGCACTTAGGAAGACGCCACCATCTCAGGCACGTGGCTCCTTGGATGAGGTGGCTCTGTGGAGTGGGTGAGGATGAGAGGCCCGGAGTGGACCCCCTGGGTCAAATCCTGGCCCCTCCTCCTCGGAGCTGGGGCAGAACCCGCCAGTGCCCCCCACAGCTCTCAATGACCATCCAGAGCACTCCAGCCCAGGCCGGCATCTGCATCCCAGTGCCGAAGAGTTTACAGCCCTGGGAGGACCCCACGGCTCCCAGGAGTTGGTGCATCCCTGGCCTCTGGGTGGGACGACTCTGAGACAGGAGCTCTGCAGGTAAAGCTCAGCCCGCGACTGCATGAGGTGCTGCAGTAAACACACCCTGCACTGGTCCCCTTGGCCTTTCTCACCAGTGCCTTCCGCCCCGCCCAGTAAGCTGCCTGCCCTTGAATCTTTGTCTCAGAGCCTGCTTTTGGAAGAATCCAAACTAAGATAGATGGCCTTGAGAAATGGACTGAACTGTGCCTCGGCCCCACGCCTAACGTAAGGACACAGCACCTGTTTCACAGGACCGCATGAGAAGAGGACTTAATTGCGTTACAGCGTAAGCACTTTGTAGACGTGAGCAATTATTTTCTTAAAAAATGATTTTGGAGGGGTATAAAAGAGTCAAAAACACATACGATGAAAAATTCCAGGTATAGGGAGTATCTGGGCACGAGTCTCTGCTCTGCCACTAACCTAACCAGAAACTGGGTCAATCGCTGTCCCTGCGGGCCTCAGTTTTCTCGTCTGCAAAATGGGCAAACGGTGCGGCGACCTGGTAGGCCTCACGGAGCCTCTGCGAGGACCGAGTGAGACGAAGTGTCCGTGGGTGGGAACGGCTGGGGGCCGGCGGGCTTTTTAGGAGCAACTCAGGCCGCAGAGTGAAATGGTTAGGGGCGAGGACTCTGGGGCCTGCACCCAAATCCAACTCCCCTGTGACTAGGTGTGCGACCCAGAACGAGTGACTTCATCTCTGTGACCGCGGTCCCTTCTGTACGAGGGCACAATAGTGCTGTTTCCCCGGGGTTGTTATAAGGATGAAATGAATTAATAAACTGCATTAACTTGGAGAAATACTTTGGTAAGTGCTAATAAATGTTAACTTCATTTATTTATCTATCCACCCGTCTACCTTCTACCCATCAATCCCGCTTTCCTTCTATTTTCTTCTCAAAACTTCCATCTATCTATCCATCCTCCCACCTTGATCACCCTTTTAAGGTAAAAGCTGAGGCCTGGCAAAGCTGAGGAAAGCTGTTTGAGAGTCAGAAGCTGAGACCAAGTCCAGGCTCCTGTCACACACTCTGACCTTGAAGTCACCTCCCCACTCACTGGGCCTGTTTCCTAGTCCGTAAAACAAACGGAAGGATGTTAGGTGGTCTCATCGGACCCTCTAGAGCTAATCAGCCATGAGCTTGAGAACCCCCACCTGGTGGGGAATGAGCACCTGGGGGTGCTTGCCTCTCTCCCATCTGGTTCAAGAAAGGTCTGAAGCTCCCCAAGAGACAACAGGTGCTTTCAGTAAGGTGTGGGTGGGAGATGGGCTGTTTGGGGTCCCCCGGCCTGTGTGGAGGAACCATGGGTTACGAGGTGGCCTTCTTGAATATGGCCCCCAAGAGACACCATCCACATCACGTGGGTCTGTCTGTGCCCAAATGACATTCTTAGAGAGAATGTAAAAGTTAATAGTCATCACCCTTGGAAGGCTGAGTCCTCAAAACCACCAGCACGTCCCCGACCTGAAACCTCAGCCCTCGCGCCCCAGGGGCCGAGCGGCTCGCAAGCGGGCAGTGCGCGCTCACCTGGCTGAAGGAGTCCAGGCTGACCCCATTGTCGATGAGGAAGCGCCGCACTTCCTGGACGAGCTGAGTCTCCCCCAGGGCCACACGCACAGCCACGCTGCCCTTGGTCTCCTGTGGGAGAGGGAAAGGGAGAGGCTGTCAGTTATGGGGCAGATAACAAGTCAGCCCGCCCGTCTCCCAGCACCTGCGAAGGCGGCTTGGATGGAGGTGACGTGCCAATGCCCCTCGCCTACCCCACTCACCTGGCGGCTCTGGCCTGAGTCTCACAGTGGATCAGGGACCCCGTGCCCACCTCTGCAGCCCCGCCTCCCCTCTCCCTCCAGTCCAGTCGCATGCCAGCCTCGTCCCCACCTGCGGGCATCTGTGCACGCTGACCTCTGCTGCTGGCCCTGACCCCATGCTCCCGGGTTCCATTCCATTCTGCTGAGATGTCACTTCGCTGACCAGCCCACCCTCGCTCTCATCCCCACGTCCTCTACTCGGCTTAACTGTTCCTGCGGCCATCACGCCAACGTGCTGCCCCTTTGTTTATCTGCTAGTGTCCTGCTCCGCTAGAAAGCTCTAGGAGACCTGGACTCTTTCTGCGCAGGGCCCTGCTGCGTCCCCGTGGCAGAGCGCTTGTGGGATCTGAACCGGCTGCAGCCCCTGGCCACAGGCTGAGTGCTAGCGCGGTGCTGCCTGACACGGGGGCCATGAGCCGCCCACAGCCACTGGGCGCCTGAAATGTGGCACGTCTGGATCAAGAAGCGCCGTGAGTGTAAAATACGCACTGGGCTGTGAATACTTAATGAGAAAAATAATGCCAAGTATCTTGTCAATTTTTTATACTGTGTATATGTTGGAATGATATTTTGGCTATATACTAAATAAAATAGATTATGAACATTAACCGCCTGGTTTTTTTTCACTTTTTTAAAAACGTGGCCCCTAGGACATTTCCAATTACACATGACGTGGGGCCTGCGTTCTAGGTCTAATGGAGCGCGCTGACTTTGACTGTCAGGGCAGAAGGAGTAGACGACAATGGGGTGGTCGGCTTATGGGCCGAACCCATGGGTGTACTTTGCTGACCGGCTCAGAAACACACTCCCAGGCTTCGCTAAAGGCAGACTTGGCCTTGGTCTAACTGGAGACACGTGCATTTATAGGAAGGTACGTGATCTCGAGGGAGAGACTGGATGGACAAATAGGGAAAAATCAGGAGGAAAGTTAGACTCGGGACAGAGACCAATGACGCCCTTCCTCATCTAAACGACCTGGGCTGGCCGGGCCGAGGAGGTGGCAGGGACAGCCCTAGCGAGATGTGTGCCTGAGTTCGGAGCAAGGCAGGCCTGGAGTCACCCCCCTCCGCCTTCTCCCGGCTGTGTGACCGTGCAGTTGCTCTGTGTCCCTGGGCCCCAGTGTCTTCATCTGGAAAGCGGGGTTAGTAGGAGCACCCACTTCCACAAGCCGTGAAGACTGCGCAGCCAGATGCTCATCGTTATCAATTACAGTTTCTGGGGGGCTCCACACGACCCCCGCAGAAGCCAGAGCTGATGTGGGGGTGGGGTGTTCCCCAGGCGGACCCAGAGGACACCACGGCTACGGCCTGAGGGGCCCCGCGCTCACGGACCCCAGCACGATGTCCCCTTTGCTCTTTCGCCCCTTATGTTTGGGACAGAGCAAGGGGTACATCACGCGGGACGCTCACTCACGTGGTCGAACACTTGGCTCTTGGTGGCACTGTACTTCTCTGCGATGGCATCGGCCACTGCGTTCGGGCCCATGAACAGCGTGTTCCAGTTGTGAGGGCTGAGAGGCAGAACAGGGAGGTCAGACTGTGGCTGAGCAAGGGTGATATTTTTTCAGATGCAAAAGCTTTAAGAAATGAGTTCACTGGCCTGCCTTTCTCAGCCCCCAAAAGTTCCTCCTCCCTTCACCTTAAGTAGCGCGGCCCAAGTGCCCAAGGCCTGAAGACGAGGACAGTGACAATGACATTAACAACCCCTAACATCTGTCAAGCACCCGCTCTGTGCCGGGGAGTAAGCACCTTGCTTATGTGAACTCATTTAACCCCTACAAGACCGCCTGAGTGAAGCACCACTAAGAGTCTCCCCATTTTGCAGATGAGGAGACTGGGGCTCAGCAAGGGTATGGATGAGAGGCTGAACCCATCGCAAGGAGCCAGAGCACCCCAGCAGCTGGGAAGGGGTGGGGTGAGGGTGGCAGAAGCCTGGGTCAGGGCTCAGAGGCTGGGAGTGTGTAAGGACCTGGAGCTGTTGGCTTTGTCTTTAGACTCTTTCTTCTTCTTGTAAGAGGATGATCCTGGGGCGTCGGCGTCCTCACTGGCTCCCTTCTTGATGGTGGAGGGTAACACGTGGAGCATCCGGCCCTGGTGGGAGTTGAGGGGAAGGGGTTAGGGGGTGAGGGGAAGGGGCTTCTGCACTCTACCCCGGGATGCCAGCCTCTCCACGAGTAGGAAACCCTCACAGGAAGATGTGGCCTTGGGTAGAACCACCATGTGGCCACTCTTGACCCAGAAGGAGACCTGGCCACATGATACAAGGACCTGGCACTGTGATGGGGGCCCTCTGACAGTTTCAAAGGAAACTGATGAATGTGTAAGTATCCCCTGCCCCTTAAGCCTGGGCCCCATATTGTCCCTGCATGTGAGGTCTGGCCTAGTGACCATAAGATGATCAATAAGTTACAAATGACCAAATGAAAAAGAGAGAAAAGGGAAGTAAGGTAGCCTGGGGCTTGAGCGCGTGTACTAAGCACCTTACTTGGAGACACTGGGAAAAAAGAGAAGAATTTCTTATATTCTACTGTGGCTCTTATACCATGACCACACCCACACTCTTCCTTCCTTAGTCCTCTTCCAAGGGGTATTTCTCCAAACGGAGAGCATATTGATTGATTCAAGAAATACTTTCTGGGTGCCTACTGTGTATCAGGCGCTGTCCTTGGTGCTGACAGATCAGAGAGCAGACCTGAGCAGACCCTGCCGTCAGCGATGTGCCCTCTAGTAGCCTGAGTGAGGAGATGGCTTTGCACACCACTGAGTGTGCTTTCTTAAAAATGTGGCCGAGAGCACATGCGTGCACACGCCCACGCACACACACTTCCCGATCACCTGGGTCCCGCAGCTCCCCTGCCAGCCCCAAGCAGTCACCTGGAACACCTGTCCGTCCACCTCCGCATAGGCCTTCACCGCGTGCTCAGGGAACATGAAGGTGACGAAAGCAAAGCCCTTGGGTTTCTTGGTCAGGCTGTCGATGGGGTAATGCAGCTCAGACAGGGGACCTGAGGACAGGAGAGGTGTCAGTGTCCTTATGGCCGGGATAGGCCTGCGTGCTTGGCATACATCAGGCGATGGGCCTTAACTGGTGAGAGCAACAAGCTGCTGCTCTGGTCGGCTGTGGCCGCTTGGCCCAAGGAAGAATGTGGCCAGTGGCTGCAGTGGGACCATCTCAAAGGTCAAGGATGTCCTTTCACAACCCTTTATGTATCTATCCAGAGCAGAGGTGCCTGGGCTGGACTCTGCCTCCGCCACCTACTACGTGGGCAAGCCACCAGCCTCCACTCTCCTCATCTGTGAA